TGCAGTCAGTAGTATATCTTAGAAAGCAAGAAACCTGAAAGAGAATAATAGAGGCATTTACTAATTCTCTGACATGCAAAAGAAGGCACTTACCTTCCATTTCTAGGGACTTCTAAAATCGCCCTGGAAACCCAGCAACGGGGCGAGGGGCTTTATTGCAGAGTGAATCATCCCCACGCAGATGCTCTGAACAACCCCTGTATGCATACTGACATCATCAGGAGAGACTTGGAGGCAGAGGATACTATGGTAACCAAGCAATGTGCTGGGAGACAGCAGCCTTTAATTGCTTTAACAACTTCCTGGGGCTGGAGCTACCCAGGCTTGGATTTGCTAAGTAGGAAATGAAGGTTGTCACAGAAGCGGTGAGTGTGACATAGAGCAAGGGGACTCAATGAATTCTGAATCTATTCATTGCAATGTGACTTTTTAATGAAAAATGTCATTACATGATTCCATTAGCAATATTCCTCTCACAGCTGAAGCTCTGAGGAAGTCACAGGTCAATAAACAATGATCCCAGGTAGCAATAGGATAAGTAGCCGTAGACGGCTTTTTTATTTAACAAACATTCATATTATTGCATTACAAACATCCTTTTCCTTGAGGGTGAATGCTTGATTCCCTCTGAAAAGAGAGCTCACATCTGTGTCTTCAGAGGTCAGCGTACTGATAACAATGAAAACTGATTCTCTCTGTTTACTTCTCCAGGAGGCAGCAGCTGCCCAGTTCCATTTATCTCCAAGCTCCAGTAAAGCCTTGCCAAATCCAGAAAACACCTCCAGTGAAATGCCTAATTATGCCACCCAGACAAAATCAGAAGAAATCTGCCATCTTACTGCTACACAGTCTTCTTGATTAAGTCTCTTCTATCACAGGCAGAATTACTTCTAACGACCCCAAAGCTACACATAATTTGAATCTTCCCTTTGAACTATTTGTCCAGCCCTGCTGCATCTGTCACCCACGTTCACAGAAACATAACCCCTCTTAAAAATACCAGGTTAAAAGGAATTGCTTAAAATAACAATGTTTCAACATCAAACTGAGTCTATAATGATATGCTTATTTATCAGATGCAATCTTTTAATAAGTATATAACCTATCATCTGTACTATGAAACCGATTGTTTTCTTCTCCACGAATACTGGATTGACATGTTTTTTAAACAACACGCCACAGTCTAATTTTTCTACTGCAAATACTGTAATTGTAAAGATAAGCGAGTAACTTGGCAGATCCTCTTCAGGATAGTCATAATACAATAAAAAAAATGAAGGTTGTCATTTTGTACCGTATACTTAGATCTAGGCTATTTCAAAGAAACTATTATTATCTCTATGTCAATTTAGATGAAGCCAAGCCCACTTTTAATGTTTCCCTTGTGAGAAAATAGCATACAAATGAATCACAATAATACTGCTTACAAAAACAGTACAATGGAATACAACAGCACCAATACACAATCTGGAAAACCGTAGAGAATTTAAACCTAATTGACAAGTTGGACGTTTCACTACTGCAGAGGTTAGGTAGACTTCTGAAAGCATAGTAAAGTCAGCCCTCACAAAAACCACAATAATTCAGTTTACCTTAACTTAGGTATAAAGTGAAAAGATTTTATAACAAAATGGAATTATTCCTATCCTTTTACTTGCTCTTCTTGAGACCCTCAGTTTGAGAAGCAAAACATACAAATTTCATCAGGAGACTTAAGTGAAAATAATATATATGTAAAATTTACCACGATGTAAGTGAAAATAGTACACACACACACACACACACACACACACGTACGTATATATCATCTATATGATTCGTTTTAAAACAAATGTACTTGTTTATTTAAATATGTATTGAAAGATGTCTAGAAGATACACAAACAATTGCTAGTTGTAGTTAACTTCTGGCAGTTTCAATTACAGGCTGAGAGAGTCCTCCAATTTTTATATTATATATTTTTAAACACTTAAAAGGTTTTTTTAGCCAAGGATATAAATTACTATTGTAATTTGAAATATGGAAATTCATCTAAATGTGTTCTGAACTGGGCCGGCCGAGTGGCGCAATGGTTAAGAGCTGGTCTGGGACGCCAGAGGGCCCCGGTTCGGATCCCACATATGAGGGCCAGTGACACTGCCCTCCACAGCTAAGATGCTGAACAACAGCTCAACCTGGAGCTGGGTTGCCATGAGTCGCCGGCGACGGCGTAGGCTGCAGCCCCTGTGGCAGTGGGTTGCCATGGGCTACTGTGTGTAGCCAGCAGCCAGCGTGAGCGGCCAGCAGCCGCAGTGAGCGGCTGTCCAGAAGCCAGCGACTGATCTGCCTCACCCGGGAAGAGCGCAATGATGGTGCCAACTTGGGCCAGTGAAGCAACGTCCTCCACAACTAGACTGAAGAACAAAACGACAGCAACTTGTCTGTTCCGCTTCCCCCAATTCCCCAGCACTGTTCCCTTCCCCCCAATACCCCAATAAAAAAAAATCTTAAAAAATAAATAAATAAATAAATAAATAAAAATAAATGTGTTCTGAACTTGCAATCCTGGTTTACCTGCTCTCAGTGAAGACCAATGACGGGTTCAGGGGACTATAATAGATCTTAACATTCTAGCCAGACTCTTTCAACGTTGTTCCCAACTTTTACTAGGAAGTTGTCTAAACAAAATTAAGATGGGTAAAGCAAATAACGGTTATCTAGATAACACACACATAAAAAGGGAGGTTATTGACTTTTCCAGATTGGTCATAAAAAAAAAATAGTCCAACAATAAAGCTAGTTTGTTAGATTTTTTTTTAAAGGTAGTTTCAAAAAAGAGCCTATCCAAAAATAAGACCAAACCAAGAGGTCTCTGACCACTACAAAAGGCTGAAGGGAAAAACAGAAGATGACCAGCAGGCAAGAAATCAAGTGTCAGTGAATCAAATGGCCCCAAATTGTAGAAGAGGGTAAAGGGGGTCAAATATATGGTGATGGAAGGAGAACTGACTCTGGGTGGTGAGCACACAACGTGATATATAGGTGATATATTATAGAAATGTACACTTGAAACCTATGTAATTTTACTAACCATTATCACCCCAATAAATTTATTGGGCTGTCGGAAAAGTCATGACGCATTTTTGCAACGAAAAACATAGAAAAATATGTCATGACTTTTCCGACAACCCAATAATTTTAAAAAATAAAATAAAATAAGGTGTTGGTCTCTTCCAGTCTAATATTCTATGGCATTCTGTAGCAATTTTTAAAATTTCTCCCACACAAATATCGGCCGCCTGCTGCAACCAAACCCAGCAGAGCACCCAAGGTGTGGGTATTTTTCTCACTTCTGACTGTAATAGAATGAAATCATTCAAAGTTTTATCCTTAAAGAATTCTAATTTTGCTTTCATTTAAAGATCCAGGACTATATATCCTTATCCTCCCACTGAACTCACCCAAGAGTCAATTAACTTTAATGTTTTCCCAAAACTAACCATGGATTATAAAGCCTTCAGTGTTTCTAATCTAAAAGTTAAAGGTATTATAGGTGATGGCTTACTATAATATCCAAAACTTATTTCTACATTTCATGATTCTAATTTTGATTACAATTCCCAGAGGAAGCGCTGGATTAAGTTCTAATATACTTTGCTAAAGAAGCCAGTTGTAGATAAGTTCCCATTTTAGTCTCTCAATTAGTGGAATTTTAAAATACCTTTTCCCTAGGATACAAAGAAAGAATTTCGAGTGAAATGTAGAACATTTGTACATATCTAAGCATAGATATTGTTTTCATGAAATAAAAAGAAGCTTAAGAGGGGTTAAAGATGCTGCCTGCAGCCTGAAGAGACCAACAGAGCTGAAAGCGTCTGACAGCAGGATGTGGGTTATAATGCTTCTGAATGAAATCCTTTTGTGCAAGGGTCTCGAAAAGGGCATCCAGGCAGGACTGCATGTCTTTGGATTTAAATTCATCAAGTCAGTTCCACAATGCTAAGATTCCTTCTGTTTAACTGATTACGGCAGGTTTCCCGGCAGTTCCCAAATGATGTCAATAGCTTCTAAAAGGTCAAATGCAGCAAAGTACACCAAATGTCCTGGAGTACAAAGCACCAATAACTTCTCCCTCTATCACCTGCGGTGTGTGACTTATTATGCAGTGGATTATCCCATTTTAATCAACTGAGCTGGTTTTCTTTTTCTCTTTTCCTTTTCCCCCCAGAAGTTAAAATATATTTACACATTTTAATGCTATACATGATAAGCCCACCTGTTTTCATCTACAGTACATCTGGCTAAAACAGTATAAATAGCCCAGCTGCAGCATCACGTTTTGCATGGGGGGGGTGGAGGATGAAACAGAAAGGCATGGAACTGGAACTATTCTAGACAATAGATGCCAAGGACAACCAAAGCATGATCTGTGTTATTAACACAAACTTGCAAAAAGAAAGCTATAGCTGTAATAAATGCCACTGTCAAGTAACAAATGCTCAGAAAACAGCGCGTATGTTAAAAGGAAGAACCCAAGCCAGGCGGAAAATTCCATCTGGGTTCAAAACATGAATTCTAGGCCTTTGGGAGTTTCTTTAAAACCCAGTGTTTCACTGTTTTTCCAAAGCAGTAAGGGATGTAATGCATTGTTGTAAAATATTAATCATGTGTGTTTTGGGCATTGAGTTGAAAGGAAAAGGGAAAAGAAGATAAGCCAAGGATACTAGAGTATAAAGTGACCAGGACCAGCCCTTGTCTGACAATGCTGTAGGAACCATAACTGCCAGCCCAGGGACTCAAAGGAAGTTCCAAGAGCTCAGCACCCCGGCCCCCCGGCCCCCACTTCCTATTAAAGTCCCTGACCTTCAGTTGTGGAAAGGCACTGTTGCACAGGTTTTTTGAGTACAGCATTGTGTCTCCATCCCAGTTCTGCTACCTCCAACCCACCTCCAATCTTGGGCAAGCGACTGCACCTCCCTGGGCCTCACTTTTGTCACCTATAAAATAAAGAATAATCATACCTCTGAAGGTTGTTGACAGCACTTCTGTGAGCCAGGCACAATGTCAGGTATTTGGAGTACGGTGTTGAACAAGCCATACAAGGCTATTTGCTCTCAGAGAGATTGTATTCTGGGTTGGGAGACAAAAAAATAAACAATGAAATAAATAACATAATTTTATATACATGGAAAAGGGTTGTGAAGAAACGTATCATAGGATGATGAGACAAGAAACTGGATGGGAGGGTGACTTGATACAATTGTTAGCGAGAAACCTCAGAAGAAATGACATTTAAATAGGAGAAGAACAAAGTGTTTAAAATAAAAGGACAGAGTCTTCCAGGCATAGAGATCAGCAAGAACAAAAGTCCAAGACGGAAATGGACTTAGAATGTTCAAGGAACATAAACAAACCCAGTGTGGCTGACCGATAGTGAGCAGTGAGCAATAAGTTTATATACCTATTAGGCAATTAAGTGAAGGAACCAAATAATAAATGAATTCATGAATGCAGCCTGGGTTGGAGGATGAAAGTGAAAATATAAATTTGGCAATCACCTACTGAACACAAATCTCTGTAAAGCACCCAGCACACTGCCTGAATACTATGATTATTGATAACCAATCTTTCCAGTCCCACTTTTCCAAGTAACTGAGTTGATATTTGCATTAGGGAGACTGTCAGCAAATTAGAAAGACAGAAGACAGGTTAGGGTTGAATTAGCTCAGGGAGGAAAAAACGTGTTTCATATTAACTGCCAATTTCTACAAAAATAGTAGAACTTCCTGGCATTCCATGGTGAGGGTTCTGAGGCCAAGTATGAGCCTGTGTAACGATATGCTCCTTTATGTGCAAAACATATAAATGGTAACAGGTTCCCAAGACTATGGAATTGGGAGTTTCTTTCTCTTTCTTTTTTTTAATTAGAGTTCATTGTGGTGATAATTATTAGTAAATTGTGTAGGTTTCAGGTGTACAATTCTGTAATTCATTATCTATATCTCACATTGTGTGTTCACCACCCAGAGTCAGTTCTCCTTCCATCGCCATATATTTGATCCCTTTTACCCTCATCTACCACCCCCCTCCCCCCTTACCCTCTGGTAACCAATAAACTATTGTCTGTATCTATGAGTTTTTGTTTCTTCATTTGTTTGTCTTGCTCCTTTGTTGTTTTCAATTTTATATGCCACATATCAGTGAAATCATATGGTTCTTTACTTTTCTGTCTAATTTCGCTTAGCATAATAATCTCAAGATCCATTCATGTTGTTGCAAATGGCATTATTTCATCTTTTCTTATGGCAAAATAGTGGAATCGGAGTTTTTGTTCACTGTATGTTTCATTTAACCTGTTTTTTTCACTTTTGGTAATTATTTCTCATAATAATAATATGAATTAGATACCATTACTACCCCTATTTTATAGTTGAGAAATTTGAGGCCCAGGGAGAATAATTTATTTGCCTAAAGTGACAAGCCTTCAAATAGTTAAAATCTGGGTGTCTCTAACTCTTGAGAAGATGATCCTACCCACTGAGATATATACATGTAAATTTGCTAAATTAGCTCCTTATTTGTATTCCCCTAACTGCACTTTAAGAGTCTTTCCAGCTGAGCCTAGTATCTGGTTCTAGTATGGAATGTCTTGTACAGACATTAGTCTGGTTCTGGCATGTTCTCTGGTTTTTAAATTCACATGTTGCCTTCTGAAGGAAGCATCCAGGCACAATTCCTTCGTGTTGATGTTAGTGGAAAACATCCTAGTTCTTAAAACAAATGCCAAATCCTATTTGATTTAGTGGTTAGGTAATCTTGTAAGCAGGGTGACAATTCTAGCAACTGTCAGAATTCCAAGTTATTTTAGCAATCACCTAACTATTCTTCATCACCTATGTCAGCTGAGGGTCTCACTTAGCTGTACTTAAAAACACACACATACACATCAAATGAAGTTACTGCCACTGTTGTTATTGTTACCTCATCCACAAAACAGCAGATTCGTGTACTTTGAGTAAAGAATAGGAATTTTTTAGGAATTTAGTCCTGAGGAATAGAAATTTTAAGGATTGTAGGACAGTGAGAAGTAAAATCTCTTATACGGGTTACAGACTAACCACAACATAAGAAAAAAAAAAGAAAAGAAAAAAAGCTAAACTATTCCGTCGTTGGGAAAGTTATGACGTATTTTTCTATGTTTTTCAATGCAAAAATGCATCATGAATTTGCAGATGACCCCAATATATTTAAACCTGAACTTCTTTGTCTTTTCTTTCCACTCCCATGCTTCCCCTCCTCCCCCCACCTATTTTCTGTGAAAGGGCTCCATAACAGGAAAAAAGTACGCCATATACTACATTGATTTGATTTCAGCAAACTAACCAGAATTGGAATTTTTATTAGCAAGAGCCATAGGCAAAAGCAATAATACACTATACCTATCAGAGTGGTTAGTTTTATTCATGAACCCATGCTGGGTTAAGAAAAAAAAGAAAAGGAGAAAAGCTAACTTCAAAGCATTACTGAGAGATGATTAACTCCCTAGCCACAAATGAGAATCACAAGCTACTTTGATGTGGGAGAATTTTTAGTGCCTAAATTTAAAGAAAGGATATCTACAATACAAGTTTAACCATTTTTTTTAAAAATCCAATGATACACTTCTTTTGCATCTTGAAAACCAGTAATTACCTGAGGGAATAAACAAAATTGGAGCTCTGCCTCAGAAATTAAGCCTTAAATGCAAAGCATATAAACCCTATTCCTCCCTCATCAAAATGCCAGCTGTAATATGTTCAGTATGGGAACACTGTCATTGTCATTTTTTCACAGTTACCCACTCCACAACACACTTTGGGCATTAATCAAGCTGTATACACATCTTCATCTCAACAATTGAACTCAGCTTACATCGGAATATTATTCAATGTACAAACTATGTGGCACATGATTGTAAAGACTGCAGTTGTATAAAGACTTGTGCCAATACTTAATTGGAAATGAACATTAACAGTGATCTAAAATTGCTAATTTTGGAGCCTTGAGCAATCTCGATCATTTATATAGTGTATGTCATGGTCTATTTTTGCACAAAAATTGAGAATTATTACTTAGTATGTAGAATTCTTAAATGTTGTATGAAAATAGGTCATGGAATATACTGTATAAATTTCAAGAGAAAATGGAAATTATTAAGAAGTGAATTAAAATATGTGATTTTTTTTTATAATAATGGCCCAAAGACATGAGGAAGGTGGAAGGCCGATACTATGTACTTTAAACGGCTTTTAACATGTAAATATATCAGGTATAATATTATTTATTAAAATACTTGTATTCACCAATCTGAATATATTTAAATATCCTTAGGATCTAAATGCTATAAGTTTACAATTTTCTCTTCTTTCTCCTATCAGATATCTCTATCAATGACTGCTTGGAAAAATATGCAAGGCAATCTCAAAAAAATTACTGTGCTTCATTATGCAAGATGAAAATGCAGTTTTTAAAAAATATTTTGTCTGACATTAAGCTCTGGATGCTGGTTACAGCAGGTCAAAAGCCATTAACCACCTGCTGAAAATACATACTAGAAAATAAAATGTCCTTCAAAATTATTTTGCATACAGTATTCTCAAGATGAGTGAGGTTATATTGTAAATGTTTAAAAATGTGATGCCTCAAAAAGATATACACACACCATGCCAGAAATTAATTTCAAAATAAGATTTAATAATGGTCATATAATTTAGAACATTCACATTGGATAAACAAAGCACCATGTCTACTATCAGAAATATGAATACATAAAATAATCAACCAGCTCAACACTATGTGGCGACTGTTGTCTCCTTTTCCAATAAAAGTAACAATATGATTCCTAGGATTCTTAGGACATTTTCTTTTACCATTCTATAGTCTCCTGGGGACTGACCCAACAGTCCTTTTTGTATCTTTAAGACATTCTACAAATGTATTCACACAGAAAAAGTAAAACACCAGCTCCTGTGCTATTGCACATAAAGAATTCACAATTCTGTCTTGTTTAACATTTTGATACGTGGCAATGAAGCATACGGCTCTCTATCATTACTCTATTAATAGGTTCTATTAGCAATTAGTAACTGGACACTTAGCACTTCGCACAACCAGGTACTAAGCTAAGTGCTAGACACATCTTAATGCATTTAATCCTCATAACAACTTTATGATGTAGGTAATAGCCTATTGTCATTTTAAAAGTAAGGAAACCAAGTCACAAAGAGGTTAAGTAACTTGCTCATAGTTATATAGACAAAAAGTGGCTACATTTCAATGAGGGAAACTTACAGTTTATAGAATGTGAGGTCCTGAATGTGATGGGCAACCAAGGGAAAGAAAACGAAGCAGGCGAAAGTACAAGGGAGAGTCAAATGAAAGAATGGAATAGAGACAAATGCTTTCTCTTCCACTATTTTCTCTTATCTTACTGGGCTGACTGTGGCTTGTTTAATAAACAAAAATAAAGAGGTAATAGAATTGTAACCGGGTTTGCAAGAGCAAAGATGACTCCTATTAAACACTAGGAAGCTCACATTTCCTTGCTTTATTTTTACTGTGTGTACCTGCAAATACCCAATCTCACTTAGAGCCAAAGCTCTAAGATGACATCTGATGAATAAATACACATTTTGGTACCATGTCAGATTCACAGGCTGTCGAGACACAGACGGGTGTATAATAGACCTAGACTATCACCTATAAACCTGGTTCCTAACATGGATGGAGGGCAACCCTCAGAGACTGACTTCATGAATGGTCAGTGAGGTTCTCAGCCTGTTAGCTTCCAGCTACACTGGTGTTGCCCTCATTGACTTGATCTAATCTAAACTTGTTTGTAAGACATCTTACACTGGGGCTCCCCAATATAAATGCCCAGGGTCCTTTCAAGGGCCCTAATCCAAACTCTATCATAATCAGATCATGGGAGGCTTTTGTTGATGTCATTGCATATTTGGATTTTGATTATTTAATAAAGAAAACAAAAAACATTTCTCCTTTAAACACAGTATTGCAGTCCTCTAAATCTTCAAGTAAAAATTAAATAAAATAACTCTTGGTTGCTAAACTATGAACTCAAACAAAATTCT